AGTTGTTGCAAGGTCTAGTGGATGCGTCCCAGGATACTGTAAGGGAAGCTGGGAACGTGTGTGGTCTGCATGACTTGAAGCAGTTGCATGTACTCCGATTATTACAAGAAAGCGATCAATTTATTTGGTCTGGGAAGGTTGGTCAGTATGATTTGATGTCTAATGTTGGCTTCGAGTGCTAACTAACTTTCGATCACAGCAAACTCTTCTAACACTTACCTTCATGCTCTCCTGAAGATATTTTGCGCTACCCCTACAAGAGCAGTCCGGAATACCCTGCGCTCACTGCTCAGGAAAACGCTTCCTGAAAGCATCCTTTTCCAAGAACACCCGGACGAGGTGGACATGTGGCTCGATTCCCTCCCAATAACTTGTCGTGGAACGGGTTGCGAAGCTCCAGATGGCGCCGCCCTGACCGACGAATCTGACGGAGTTGCCACCTTTCTGGATGACTGCGCGCAGCGATGTATAAAAACACCGTATCGATACTTGGAGACTCTTCGGGCTCTTCTACCTATGGAGAACTCAGCGGTCGATGCACCGAGTCCGTTGCTCATGACTGTGCTCGAACAATTTGCTGCAAAACTAGCGGGAAAATTGCTCACCCCATCGAATGCACTTGCCATTACTGGGTTTGTGAGAAGGCTCGTGTTCAAGCTAGCGGGCAAGCAGAGAGACTTGACGTTTCTGCGTATATTCTCTGGGAAAGTGGACGATGCTGCGATGTCTGAGAACTTGTTCTCCCAGCATGCTTGCGTTACCGCTGCGATCCGGCGTGAAGTGTCAATCATGCACAAGTGTTTCAGTCATTTCCAGGATGTGCGTAGACGCGCGGAGCCTAGCGCGAGTTCAGAGGTCGAAGACTTCTTGACGAAAATCGAAGGAGTACCTTTGCGTGTGTGCAGCGCTTATTTTTTTCATTCCAATGGAAATTGACTGCATTTTTCTAGCTGAAAGCTCAAGTGCACGCATTCACAACGCATACGAACTCGTTGACTGGTTGCGTTTCGTAGAACACACACTTCAGCCCCAAGATATCGTCCGACTTTCGGCCGTGGTCGAACGCTTCCATCCTCCCGCTCTCAAGGATTTATTCGAGAACCTTCATCCTGCAGATTCGCTGATGTGGGAAGGCGGTGATCTAAAGACTGCCTCGAGGCAGCTCCTCCAAGTGTATGTCACTTGCCTTTCCTTGATTCCTGCGTCGTTATGAATGTTAAATGCTTTACGCAGCCTTTCCTTTGATTGGATGTTCACGCAAAGCTCCGAAGCTGATATCGCGAACAAGCAATGCCGCGAAACAATGGTGGAGTGTCTGTTTCTCAGACCACCAACGCGGGTTCAGATTGAGCACGCCGTTTGCCTCATCGCACATAATATCTGCTCAATCATGGAACGGGAATCTCTTGTATGCGATTTACTGCTTTTGCTATCGGCGATTATGCGGAGGGCGCTTGGTGAACTCTCGAAAGAAGATGGCGCTCGGCTGAAGGAGTATGTCCTGTTGAGGGCGCCATCTATCCATGGCATGAGTATGTCTGGAGATCTTCCTGGTACTGTGCAAGAAGGTAATGTTCTCAATGTTACTTTGCGCACTTTCGTTAACTGTTTAAGCAGCTCTGTGCGCGTTTCTCGATATTTCTCTTGATCCCAGCAGTGAGGATGATAGGACAATGGTCTCCTCGATTTGTACATACTGGACGGAGTGTTTTAAGGCATCGGTTCAATCAGGACGACTGCAGACGGTACGATGATTCTATGCGTGAGTATTTACGTTGCTAATGTTTCTCCAGGGACGTTCCATCAAGTTGTGGCTACGTTATGCAGACCCAAACAATCTTCTAAACATCATTGATCAGGCGTGCGATGCCAATAATGCTGCCCTTACGCTTTCTGTGCTGGAGGTTCTGGAGTTTGCCCTTGATACCCTGAGGGGTTCCTTCACATGCGCTAGTTCGAGGATCCCTATTTCGCAACTCCTCAGGTTGTATTGGGTGTTGCCCGACTCCGAGGTGCTCGAAGAAACGATCGCTGTTGCAGTGACTTCACATCTTCCGCCATGCCATGATGGGCGGCCTCCACGAGCGAAGACATTGGACTTCTCCTTATCACCGCGATGCCTGCCAACTTCTGGAAGTTCACAGCTGGGAATATTGCCCGCTGATTTCATCTCGAGGCTGTTTCAAAAGGCGATTTGGACAGAATCCACGTCACGCATTGTGTCTGGGCTGGTTTATGCTCAATCCGGTGTTGCAAAGGAGTTTGTCGCGTGGTTCAACTCGGGAGCTTGGACGACCATTCCGTTTGAGCCTCTGCTATCATCGGTGCATGCTGTTTTGGATTCACTTGGTGGTGACGCCATCGATTTGTTTCATGATACCGTTATGATTGCACTCTTTGATCGTATGTTGCCTCAGCGTCATCGCCCTGAGGGCCTGAGACAGCTATATATCCGCTGCATCTGTATATTACTCAAGGCGGACGCAACTCGTAAACAGCAGTTCGCCAGCTTGCTACAGAAGAATATGCAACGCTTTGCTGTCGACCAATTCGCCCTCGAAAGCGTGTGCATTGCCTCGCGCTTGCAATCATTTCCCCCGCTGGCCGATCTCGTGACAGAATTAGCTGAGCGTGGACTGCAATGGGCTGTGCGCCATTTCTCTGGCCCTGAAGGCGAAGATGAAGAGGACCGATTAATTCTAGCCCAATTAAGTGCGTCGGATTGAAGAGGCTTTTCTTGTACCTTGGCTAAATTATGTTCGCAGCGAAAATCGCCAAGAAAGGATTCAAGGCAAAGGCGTACTTTGTGGAGCCTCTATTGACCACTATCATTCAGAACCGACTTGCTGATACCGTTGCTCTCGATATTGCCATTGCATTGCTGCAGTGCTCGCCCCTCAAGGTAATCATATCTTGTCATCTTGTGCAGCTTCAGGCTCAATATGGATGTTTTCAGCCTGTCGTTGTAAATCGAGCTCTGCAAAATATACTTCAACACCCTCAGTTCTTTAAACTATGTGGTCCTGAAGAGTCATCTCAAAGAGATCTTATCATCCGTTTTATCGCTGTCCTATTCCGACTCCACCCCACCAACACATGCCAGCCTTCACATATCATTCCACTCATGCGCATATACGGCGGGACCATCTCTGCCTCAGATCGAAATCTGTTGAACATCTTCCGTTTATATGAAGCTGAAAAGCTGACACCTATATCATCCATTCTCGCCAAGTGGTCACCTTCCCCTGGTGTTTCCACGTCAAGCCCGCTTGATGCAATACAAAACATGGATCCCATACGCATGTTGAGAACTTGTCATGTGTTCCCGATATGGAGACGTATGTCAGACGAACAGGAAGACGAGAAAGTTGGCCTGGATGAGCAGGTTTACGATCCACTATTCGTGACTTTGTTCGTTGCCCAAATGCTTGTGCATCATCCTCCAGCTTCGTCGCTTGAATGGGTGCAGACGTTCCGATCGAACGTTTTTAGTTTGCTCATCCGGTGTTTGTCTGCAAAAGATGAAAAGATTCGTGAAGCCTCACTCGGCTTGTTGGCAAGGGTGTGGAAATCTGTGGAGGTTCGTATATTATCTTGTTCTTCGGTATTCTAAGGCGTCGGGATGCTCACCCCTTGTCAGCTTTCGGATATGCAAGAAAAACAGCACGCGCTGTACATCTTTAACCTCCTGAAGAACCTTATCAAGCCCTCATTCGATGGTCCTCCCTTGCGGTTGCCTTCGTTTGCATCATTGATTCTGTCTCATGCTCTTCGTGGGGTGTTTTATCCTTCCAATTTCATCTACCCACGCACGGCGCGCTTCCTTCTTCAGCGCCCAGAACTTGACGTGACTGATGTGCCAATGCTATATGGCATGCTCTATGGTAGTTCGGATGACTGGAAGAAAGAGCGTGGATGGATCGTTAGGTTCCTGTCTGACGGCATGATGAGTACAGAGGATTGGAAGGTGCTTAAACGCCGACATACGTGGGAGCTTCTCTCCAGTCTTGTGCAGAGCTCAGTTCGCGATCAAGCGTTGCGACGCGCAGTACTGGAGGTTTGTTGCATTAACACTCTCGTCAATCCTTAATTCAAGTTATTTCACAGGTGCTCGCTAACCTGACTTCTAATGTCCAGGCAACGACTTCTCTCGTTTTAAGGTCATCTCTTCTATCCTGGATCGACATGCAAGTACAACTGCCACAGAGTAACGAAGACACTCTTGCTTGGCTAAGGATCCTTGAAAATATTCTGATCACAGCCAATACTGCGAAGCTGCAGCGGGCCACAAACGGTCAGTGGCAAGATGCTCTGTGCAGATGCTTGTCGCTGGTTCTACAGAATTGCAGTGGTATGGGCCTTATTTTCACTCCGTTTTTGAGGCTCATTCTCTTCCTGCAGCCCCATCGCTCCCCATTCTCCAACAAGCCGCTCGCGTGACGCTACGATTAAGTCTAGCGTCTCAGACCTCAACTTTTCATCTGTCGCATGTTTTCATGGCCACAATCAGCATTCTCGAACAGCTGGAGCCTTGCATAGATTTCAGCAAATCTAGTTCTGCCAACGGACCTGCCATTCCTTCTAAGCCACCGTACCACGGTCATGGGTTGCATATTCAACCACCAGTAACTGATCCCCTGCGTGCGTGGGGTGGCATTGTCGAGGACTTATGGCAGGCGAGTATGACGCTTGACGAAAAGTTTGTGAAATGGGATGTCCTGACAGGCAGGCTACTGCAGTGGAGAGGTATAGTCGGTGAGGATGGTAGCCCGATGGGTGAATGGGCGAGACTGGAAGCTGTCCGAGTATCTATGTCATCGATAGCCAACTGCGTCCAATGAACGCAGATAGTGATAAATTATAGCCTAGAAAATAATGTGAGAGATGATGTAGTGATCAAAATATCGAATATGCGTTCTCCAAGTTGATTAGGTACATGCTGAGGCACCTGATGAAAGATGATTACTTGATGTCAGAAGGAATGATTGTGCTGCATACCAGGTGTCCTGCTCCATCGATTCGCGTGACAGAGGAAAAACGCCTGCCTGAAGCCGGATCAATCAGGGCATCCTGTACTGCGCGGGGTCTACAGCACCACATATCCGTTCGTCAAGGATCAGCTTGGGTTTGTGGAACTGCGTACATGTACTCATTGTCACTTCCAAACACGATGCTGACGGGAATGCGTGGGCAAACTTTGTCCAAGTCCTGCACTGGTTTGGTTGCACCATCTGGTTCTCTGTACATTGTCTGAAAGTGGAGCTCAGTGGGATCAACTAGTTCAAAGAGGATCTTGGTCGCGTACCACCTCTTCATCACGCGAGCATGCTAAGCTGACACCATCGTAGGGTGCTTGCAGGTGACGCGCACCTGGGTGAGTCCGGAGTCCAAATTTCTACGAGGGCATTAGGGTGACGATATGACAGAATGATAAGAGGATGCAGTACAATATACAAATCCAGGACACGCGGGTCCCAGCGTTTACATCGCCTTCTTGATTTCAGGTTCTGGTACGCGTTTTCTCGAGAAGGCCACACGTCTTTTCGTTCGTATGCATGTTTGATGAGAACACGGCGCAATGGTTCCACTGCCTTTGCATTTGGACTGAGCATAGGTTCCACGAGGATGACAGAAGAAAATTTGAAGGCCGGTTCAAGGTTCTGCAATATGGTTCTAGTACAAGACCTGTAAATCGAGAGCGCGCATGTTGGAATAAGAGGCTAACATAGCAACTCCACCAAGAGAATGTCCTATTCCGACAAGACGCTGGCTTCGGAAGTCAAACATGGGTCTGAACCTTGATCCAGCAGACATAAGTCTATGGACAGCATCTGCATATTTGCGGCACCCGACTGTGCTGGTTCAGCTGTTCGTCTGTTATTGTGCAATCAAAGGGACTCACAGTTGTGGTAAAAAGGTGCCTGCCGAAGTGCGTCATCGTTGAGAGCGGCAGATACACCATGGTTTGGGCAGTCGATTGCCCATGCACATTTGATCTTCAACAATTTTGATGATTTGCTGGAATAAGCTGAAGAACACTGGAAGATACGTTCCAGGGTAGGCTGCCAAGTCTCTTTATGAAAGCTGGTCGAATGGAGCAAAACAAGTGTGACTGCTTCCTCGTCGTCCCAGTGAGCTTCAAATTCTGGTAGCCAGTATTTCTTGGCAGTGATGTACAGGGGATAGTGTTGGTCAGGTTCAAGTAGAGCTTCATATTCCAGCAAGTCCGATGTGGGCGACATGTTGGGACTAGTACTGTTGTAGTCACCTGAGGCACAGGGGAAAGCACGTGGGTGCCGTATTTTAGGTGTTGAAGTGTTTCAGCTTCTCAACATGTTCACAGGGGCACATCCTGTCTTTGATGGTTTTGGTCGCTATTCAACACGGCGCAGGTCAAATGCGAGGACAATTGAAGTTTTCTCACTCCAATTACTTTCTCTTGGAGAGGGTCGTAGTCGCTTGTACAAAAGTGGCCGAGAGCAATAACGATATCTTCTGCCAGTGGGAGATGCCGCGGCCGGGTCGTTGTTCGCGTCTTGAAAAAATGAAACGAGCATTCTATGAATCATAGATCATATCCTTCTCTCGCCAGCCTGTGCCGCCTCGCCTCATGACTGAAAGCAACTCTTGTGGGGCTTGAAAGCTTGGCCGGGAATGCTCGACACCGCGGAGTAGCCTTCAAGTTCGCAGTGATATACTTATTTTCTCTAGATCGGTTCTAGCTTGAGGCTAGGCTGTTGGAGCCAGCCTCAGGAAATTAATATCTCGCACGTGATCGCGTCGCGGTGACCTAATTCAATATATATATACGCGTCTTTGCATTTTTCCGTCACGGTTAACCTTGACCCTGTTCCAAAATTCCCTCTTTGTCTTGGGGATTGTTCGACGCTGCCACCCAAACTCGCCTTGACGACAAAAATCGGAGTCTGGCTCAATGGTCAGTGTTTATATATATATCTTATTTGATAGCTCTATCGTACTCATTCAGCTTTGATTTAGTTCGTGGTGCGTGCAGGTTGAGACTCATTTGAATGTAACTTCGCCAACGGGTCTTGCAGTTTTCTGGTGAACGTTCTGAATCGGCTCCGCCTCCGAATGGAGCAGTTACGAGGAGCCAGGTAGGCAAGGTAACATCGCGGAAACCTACTGCTCGTCAGCCTTTCAGGCAACCTCCGCTTGCATCGGGTGTAGCCTCGGCCGTTCGCAAGACTTCAATATCGACGAAACCAGTTCCATTTACGTTCAGGACTAATGTAACCAACCGCATTTTTGTAGCAATCAGTCTGTTACTGAGGCTTTAAATCTCATAGCTTCCTTCGAGAACTGATAGGTCCACCCCCGGAACGACCCTCTCACCGAAAGCAGAGAAGTTGGCCAAGGCCGAGGCACCCCCTGTGGTATATGCAGGCTGTACCTTGAGAATTTATGCCACCTAATATCTCCTTTGGCGGGCAAAGGACGATGATATTGACACTCGTGTAGAACCCGCGGAAGCAATCGACGAGCCCATTTATGACCTTGACACAGTGAAAGCTGCAAAAGTTTGTTCCTCCTATACCTGTAGGCTTCCTGATTCTCATCGATGCAGGTGGAGTTGAAGCATCTCCAGAGTCTGACAGTAGACACGTCAGACCTTAGTAAGGACCACGAACTACAAACCGCGCCTCTCATCACGAGAGAAGCGTATATCACTGCTGGATACAAGAAACATTCTACACAATATGGAGTGATGGGTCAGGTGTTGTCAATACAGTACGTCATTCCTCCCCCTCTGCGTCCCCAATATCCACGCTCGGCATCAAGTTCGAAATCAAGTACCTACGTCCCTGTAGATCCTAGACTCTATGTCAACACGGCGAGTCCTTCAGATCAACATTTCGCCTATGTATCTCATGAGCTCTCTAGAATACACCGTTCACTGCTGTAGTGTGTGGAGTACAAGGCTCGGGAAAATCACATACAGTTTCGGTCCTCCTCGAAAACATGCTCATTCCGAAACTCCAGGAAATAGGCTCCCTGCAGCAGCCTCTAGCAGGACTCGTTCTCCACTTTGGGGAAGGTGGTATCTGTTCCCTTCCGAGCGAGGCTGCATGGGTAGGTGTCCCGTCAACGGAGGGTGTAAGGACGCCGAAAGTGCGAGTCTTCGTGTCAAAGTCTTCCCTAAATACTATGAAGAGTGTTTACGCTCCTCTCGGAAATAACGTTGAAGTAGTTCCTTTACTATTCAACGAGGCAGAGTTGGATGCACAAGCTTTTCTATCTATGATGGCCGTTGGGTCGTCAGATTCAGCGCCACTTTACATCCAGATTGTTCTCGTAAGCTATAAAGGATAATCCATTCAGGATGTGTTATAGTCTGACCGCTTCTTTCCAGAGCATTCTCCGAGATTTGGGGGAGAGATTCTCGTACAAACTATTCATGGAGAGACTTGACGAAGAGAAGAGAACATTCAACCCCGCGCAAATTACCGGTCTTGAGCAGCGTCTGACCCTCCTGAACTCGTTCATGGAGCCCAATCGTCCGCAGCAAGCCACTTTTGGTTCAAGGACGTACGCCAATATCAGTGGGCCCAGATCAAATGTTATTGCTCCCAAATCGACATCGCATCGTTTCGCTGCGGGACATTTGACCATTGTTGATTTATCGGATCCATTCATTGACCCAGGTTCTGCGTGTGGCTTGTTCGAGATCGTCACGAGGCTATTCGTGAGGGCTGAGGTTGAGACTGGAAAGGTTCTTGTCGTCGATGAAGCCCACAAGGTATTTCGCTCGATGTCTCTTTGAAGTTGTGCCGTTCTAACGTACTGCATATAGTACTTGTCCACGAACAGAGGTGTTTCAGGGCTAACCAAGGCCCTTTTTACCCTCACGAGAGAGCAGAGGCATTTAGGGATGCGTGTCATCATTTCTACCCAAGGTAATTCCAGCCCTCAGTCAGACGGAGAGGCAATGCTTATACAAAACCCAGAGCCAACTGTAGTGCCACCCGTTCTGTTAGACTTGTGTACCGTCGCTATCATGCATCGATTTTCTTCTCCGGCGTGGTGGGACCACCTTGCACGGCACATTTCTGCCGACGTGTCTGTAGATGCAGCATTTGACACGGTTGTTAAGCTCCAGGTACGTCGGACGCTTGAACAGGGGGGCTCTGCTAATGCGCCGCACACGTCCAGACTGGCCAGGCGATTGTTTTTGCGCCATCAGGGCTTGGCGTGTTCCCTCAGGATGCAGAAATTCCTGGTCCGAGGAGAGTTAAAGGAGATACCCCGACTGCCTTGAAGATGAGCCAATTTGGAAGACGTTACATTATCATGAAGACACGCGCTCGCGTCACGAAAGACGGAGGGACATCGGTTCTTGCTGTTCCTCGTCAAGAAGAGAGCGAGGAGTCTGAGAGCGAGGAGTCTGAGAGAAAGGTGTCTGAGAGCGAAGAGTCTGAGAGCGAAGAGGAGGTATCTGAACCCGAGGAATCTGAGGATGAGGAATCTGAATAAGTTAATCACATCTTACCTAATTATGAATAGACACAATACTGATTCCCATCAATACTTATTTCATATGTAGCCTAATTCATAAAAGCATTTTCGTAGAAACATGTGCGAGGTTGTTTTTATATGTTTACCAAAGCCTTGTAAATTCAACAAGAACAAACAACATTCTGTTACTGCCGCAGTGTCAGTAGGACTCACTCACTACCAAAGCGCATTTTCCTACTATCCATAGCTGGTGTCTAGCGTTCCCCTATATTCAGTGCACTTTTTCCATTATCTCGTTTTGTCTTTGTGCTTTCTAAGGCCATGGCCGCCAACGTCAGGGTGCGGCGTCCAGCTACTCCACCGCCCGGTCTTCCACATGTTGCTCCTTCATCTCATAAATATCCGCCAATACGACAAGACCACCTGAACGCAGATGAACGACGTGAAGCAGCTTCCAAGGGGTATGGACCTGGGCAGAGAAGTCATTCATCAGGTGGTCTCAACATCACATCTGGGGAATGGAAACTACTGGCGGTTGTCCTTCTAATTGCAACTGGCGTCAGGATGTTCCGACTATCGAAACCAGATAGTGTGGTGTGAGTGTGCCAGATACTCACTCTACCCGTCTGACATATCCACCAGTTTCGACGAGGTGCACTTTGGCAAGTTTGCGGCGCGCTATATCAAAACGCGGTATTTCGTCGACGTGCACCCTCCACTTGCAAAGTTGTTGATCACTGCGGCGGCCTTCATATCCGGCTTCAACGGCGATTTTGACTTCAAGGAGATTGGCAAGTGAGTGTGTCGGAAACGATATACTTCTATTGTTGAGCATATGCATTAACTAGGGTCTTTGAAAATGCGCCATATGTGGCTATGCGAATGGTGCCCGCTACGTTTGGAGTCGCAACTGTCCCAATCGCGTATCTCACCCTACGAGCTCTTGACTGTCGCGCCACCACTGCACTACTAGCATCAATATTCCTGACATTCGAGAATGGACTGGTCACACAATCTCGCCATATTCTTCTGGATTCTCCCCTCGTATTTTTCACGGCCCTCACCATCTTCCTTTTTGTCGGGTTTTCGAATGAGGACAAGAAAGAACCATTTGGCACACAATGGTGGACATGGCTTATTTTGACTGGTCTGTCCCTAGGCGCTGTCGTTTCCTGCAAATGGGTTGGTCTCTTCACAATTGCGACGGTTGGTGTGTGCACTATCCTGCGATTGTGGCTTCTCTTGGGCGATCTTCGTGTCAGTCCAAGGATGTGGGCGAGGCATTTCTTCGCGCGGGCTCTCTGTCTCATCTTGATTCCTATCCTTTTCTACATGACCATGTTCCAGCTGCATTTCCTTATTCTTGGAAGCTCAGGAGAGGGTGACGCATTTATGAGCTCAGAATTCAGGCAGACACTGGGGCGCGGGATGGAGGACACGTACGCAGGTCCGTATATTGCGGTGATGTACATGGATGTGCTCATTTCATGTTATTGTAGATGTTGCCCTTGGTTCAGATATCACCATCCGACATCTAAACACACAAGGCGGTTATCTGCACTCCCATGCTCACAACTACCCTGGAGGAAGTGCACGTACGTGTGGCCTTTGCTTTATCTCATCTCCCATTGAATAGCTTGATAGAGCAACAAATCACACTTTACCCGCATAGGGATGATAATAATCTCTGGCGAGTGCTCAACGCAACAGTTGATGGCTATGAACAGTACGACTACGAGCACAAGCCTATCGTGTATATTGACCACGGCTCCCGCATCAAGCTAAGGCATATCGTGACCGACAAAGCCCTCCATTCGCACGAAGTCCGCCCGCCCGTCTCAGATGTCGACTTCCAGAATGAGGTTTCAGCGTACGGCTTGACCGGTTTTGTAGGCGACATCAATGACGACTGGGTTGTTGAAATCGAAAAGAGCGATAAAAGTGATAAAGAGTCGAGCAAACGCTTGAGGACGTTAAGAACGCATTTCAAGCTCAGGCACCTTAATACAGGCTGCTACCTCTTCTCGCACAAGGTGAAACTCCCTGAATGGGGTTTCGATCAGCAGGAGGTCACGTGCAACAAGAACGCTGTCAAGGCCAACTCGTTATGGTACGTCGAGACTGCTGCAAAGCATCCACAATGTAAGGTCTCTGTATCACTTGTCATCGAGTGTGTTCTCAGAACCGTCTCTTTCATAGTATCGACCGATGCCCCCAAGGTCAATTACAAGATTCCTGGATTCTTGTCCAAGTTCTGGGAGCTGCAACGGGTCATGTGGACAACGAATGCTGGATTGACCGACCGTCACATGTATGACTCTAGACCTTTGACCTGGCCTCATCTTCGACGTGGTATTGTGAGTTGTACGATTGAAGTTGTGATTCATATCTGATTGGTTGTATATCAGAATTTCTGGGTCAAGGATCATCGCCAGATCTACTTAATCGGTAATCCATTTGTTTGGTGGTCAAGCACGGCTTCGATCATCACATATATGATCGTCAGAGGCTTCCTCCTACTTCGCGCGAAGAGAGGATACCGCGATTTTGACAACAGTGAGAATTAGCGCAATTTACTCTTGTGTCATGCTGATCCAGGTAACCTGTTTTAGCCAAGGTTGTCAAGTATGATTCCCTCTGTGGTTTTCTCTTTGTTGGGTACTGCATGCATTACTTTCCTTTCTTCCTCATGGGCCGTCAACTCTTCCTTCACCACTACTTCCCTGCGCTGTATTTTGCAATTTTACTTAACTGCGCTGTTTTCGACCTCGCCACATCGACTCTACGACCAAAGATTCGGTTACAGATCGCCGCCGTCCTTATGGTGATAGCGGTCATTACATACTCGAAGTTTAGTTCCTTGACGTATGGTGATCCCTGGACGAAAAAGAAATGCACGAACGCACAGTGGGTGAAGACTTGGGACTTTGCCTGGTGAGTCTTGGATGTTCCATCAAGAGTTTGGGTTTTGACGAGCGTTTGTTAGTAACGAGTTTTTAGACGAGGTAGGTTTTATATAATTCGTGGAGCACACTGGCTAAACGCCGAACAGTACTCTCAGTATTCAGGCGTCACTGTTCCTACTTTGAACCGGACCACCCCGGTGGCAACCATTGGCGGTGAGCCCGGGGGGCGCGCAGCCATTGTGGTTGAGGACAAGCTCGGGCAAGATGGGGTTGCGCCACCTGAAGACGAACAGAACACCGCCGTCCCTATTGGTGTGCCGGAGCCCGGGCGGGATGTATTTGCCAAGGACAAACAGAAGGAAATCAAGAGCCTGAGGATTGCGTTACAAGATGTGCCGGTTATTAATGTGGATGAGAAGGAGATTAGCGTGGTGGCATTTGAACCGACCAGTGCAGCATCCGAAGTAGTGGCTGAGGGAAAAGAGGAGGTTAAGGTGCAAGCAGGCGACGTGGGTGCTACCGGTGAGTCGGAGGATGATGCGCGTCCTAAAGTCATCGGCATCCTGGAAAAGGATATGGAAGTGGAGCTGGGTGGGGATGTTGACGATCATCGGAAACCTCACGGGCCTCTTGACCACGAGGAGGCCATTGCAGATCAAGTGGCGCATGAGTTGTATCCTGAGGCCAGGGACGCTGAGTAAATTATTTAGGAATCTGTAATTTGTTGCTATAGATGTGTTGAGTGGTATTTCTTGAGTCGACTTGATCACACTTGACGATACTAACAATCTACTAGTACATTATGTCTTGAGGTACGCTGCGCGGCCGGCTCATCTTGTAAAAGGAACTTCTGTGCGGGTTTGCGTCTAGTATGTTGTCGTCTATCAAGTGTCCTACGAAAATAAGATCCCAGTCTGCGTGCATGGTATGTTGCAGATGTCAAGGAGCCATACGTGTATTAAAGCTGTTCCAAAAGTAATATATAGTAATCGACCTTCAGTAGGCGCAGTCACTCAGTTGGCTTGTCTGGAAGTTTGCGCCCTTGTGGATTACAGCTATTATCATATCGATAGTGGTCTGCCTGGCCTGTTGGGGAGTGAACCCTCAGGCCTCAAGATTGGTCCAATTGTTGCAAGGCAGACTCGGATTGTTTAGATCAACTTACAACAGACCTGCTGGACAATCATTGAGAAGTCCTTCATAACCCCACAGCGAAATGAACCCAGCTTTCATCCGAAATCGCCGACGCGGGCACTCAGACTCTTGGGCTGCATCCCGTATTCATGCAAACTTTGGAAGTCTAAATATACAGGCAATATTGTAGTGAGCTAATTGTATGTCAGTTTCGTGAAGGAAGGTCAAAAAGAATGACGTGCTGCACTGGGCTGGGTGTGGTAATTCGGACAGGCGTGCACATGATTCATGCAGTCCTGCAAGACCAAACGTGATCGTAGCATGCTATGGTTAAATAGGGCTCGACGGTGGGCCGCGAAGTAACCAATGCAAAATTATATCATGTCGGGAAAGATAGTGGATACATCAATACGCCAGTTGTTGATTTGAATATAGGTTCCAGGGCGTTCAGCCTCGTGTCCTGGGCGTCTAATTATATACGAAACAGGTTGAGGCTGTGAAGAAGCACCAAAGGGCCCGGTACCCGCACCTCTGAAACATAGATCTAGACATCCACAAGCTCTCCAGCACGTTGTGCTCAATACCATCCACCTCGGGCAGAATGACGGAAGCAGGACAGCCCACCATTCAAATCAGCAGGGCTAATCGAACATTTCAAGGTCATGAAGATTGTGTCTTTGCAGCAGTCTTCCCCGATAGACGCCGTATGGTGACGGCCTCATGGGACAAGACACTTCGTTTGTGGGACTTAGAAGACGGTGTTGTGCTGAAGATAATGGAGGGGCATCGCTTCAGCGTACGAGGACTTGCAGTATCAAGAGACGGGCAATTAATAGCAAGCGGTGATTATGGCGGAGAGCTCATCGCCTGGAACGGAGACGGCGAATCTCTTACCCAGCCGATTAAAGTCCATTCCAGACGGATCTACTCGCTTGATTTTTCCCCAGACAGCACATTGCTCGCGAGTGGCTCATTGGA